TCGCATCTCGAGGATCGCTCCTAGCTCAGCCCCGGGTGCGCCATCGCCTGCAGTGATCGCCGTCGCAAATGACCCACTATAATCAACAGTGATCGCGCGGCAAAACAACTACCCTGCCCATGTTCCATGGGCTGCCTTCATTCTTGCTTTCTCTCTTCGGCTCGGAACCTCGCTTCTCGCATTTTCTCTTCGGCTCGGAACCCCGCTCTTCACTATCATGGCGACGGCCCTGCAGGGCTTTAGCCCTTAGAATTATTCTGGGGATATCGTTTATTGGTGATGCTCGCTATATCTCTGAAGACGCCTTATAGTAGTACAGCCGTCAGGAAAGCACCTTCCAAGGGAAGTAAGTTAATTCACTCCTTACCTATTACTAGTTCATATTTTTGATGTTGTAAATTTAACCGATGTTTCGTTTCTATTAAAGTTACTACTCACTTCTTGATTATGAGTGAACAAGGCTGAAGCCTCAAAGTATTGCTTGTTTGTTTTCACGTTATTGCTAGTGGAGCGACCCTTTCTATCCAACTTGGGCACCACCGAAATGCAACATGGTGCATCGGCCGTTGGTATTCGAACTCGCTGCTTTGATTACCACGTTGACATAATAGACATCCAGCCAGTGGACGCCTTTTTGGCCGCGTGGGACGAGGGCGCCTGTGTCCCACGGGGCCAAGAACTATCAAAAAAAAACCCTGGGCGGTCGTCAACGTGTTAATCGATAGTTCAGAAGATAGTTCTACCACCTGCCCTAAGCAATCATAATTCGATCGATTACGGATCCTCCACGTACCTAAGGCAAACTAGAGTAGCCAGACAGACACAATGGAATATGGGCAAGGTTAGCTCCGGGTGAATAGCTAACCTCACGGAAAAAAAAGTAGACTTGAGGTCCGGACCGTTAATTTGTTAGTCCCAGAAACTGGGCGCACCAGGGGAGGTACCTCATCCCATCTACCATGTGGACTGGCCATCCAATAAGGTAGCTGATGGGCACGGTGTTATACGGGAAGTCTACTTGCTTAGTGACGGCTTATGCCATTTGGGAGTCACTATCTCTTTTTTCCATTTGTACTAGTTCAGCTACTCTAATCGCCAGTGTCTTAATGTCAGTGGAGCATCAATGATTGCACAAGGTCGTCTCCAACAAAACACCAACAGGGACGTGAGAAACTAAGAAAGCAATACTCAGATACATAAGAGGCAACAACCATTACGAATCATTCATACCACTCAAAAGGACTAACTCTTATACCAAACTAGTTCGTATAATAGCTCACGTAGTTAAGTACGTACGAAAAGTCCGCAACACGGTTGAAACCAACCGGGCCGTTCTTTCCTCGGACAGCAAAACGGCGAAACAAGAGTCGACTTCAACATTTATCACTCTGGACGAAAAATCAGACGTAGAGCTCCTATACTTCGCGAACACTATCGCGAAGGAGCACTTCCAGCTGCACAGTCGTATAATAAATCGCTTCAGAGTAGTCGAAGACGACAAAGGAATTTATCGAGGAAATCTCAGAATGGCAAATGCCGAGATGAAGTCTTCAGCAAAAAAATCCTATCTTACTTCTACCAGGTCATCGATTAACACGACTGATAGTGATGAATTACCATGAAAAGATGTTCCACGCTGGAGCGATGCATCTGGTTTCAGCGCTTCGGAATCATTACATGATTCCTAGAATTCGTCGCCTGGTCGACAGCGTTATTTCACAATGTGTCAGATGAAGACGACATCAGGATCGATGCTACTCATATCCTAATACACTTGATCTGCCTTCACAGCGAGTTAATAGAAGTCGTCCATTCCGAAATATAGGTGTGGACTATTTCGGTCCCCTCAAAACTCGTTCGGAACAAAGGCAAGAATGCAGCATGGAATGCAAGGTGTGGGTATCATTGTTTACGTGCATGTCTACACGCGCACTGCACCTTGAGGTCGTCGACGATAACACAACAAGCCAATTCTTACTGGCTTTCAGAAGGTTTTTAGCGCGCAGAGGGGTTCCTGATAAGGTTCTAAGTGATAACGCGCCTACCTTCAAGCTAGGAAAAGAGATCCTGGCTAACGAAGTTAACCAGCTCGAAGGAAACCTCCTAGTTCAGAACTTTACAACTTCTCGAAATTTAAAGTGGCAATTCATTACCCCGCTGTCTCCTTGGAAAGGGGGCTTCTATGGAGGACTGATAGGTTCTGTAAAACTCGCTTGAGAAAAGCGGTTCACACCAGAACCATGAGCAAGAGCCATCTACAAACGCTTATAACCGAAATAGAAGCGACGCTTAATACGCGTCTAACCCTACCTCTAACACACGTTCTAACTGATCCAACAAGCGAACCTACTCTACTACGTCCAATAGATTTAACTAATCCTCAGTTCATCTTGATGAACACTACTGAGCCGTGCAAATACGCGGCAATAATCAGCCGCCTCAACGACTCAGATTCGTATGCATACTTGATTAGCTACTACAGTGTTCTACGAGACTCGCTAGAGCGATTCTGGCAATTGTGGCATAGAGAATATCTCCATGCCCTTGCTGAAAGAAACCGGAATAAACCCTCTAGCAAACAAGGAGCCAGGGTTGCTCCTAAGGTGGGCGACATCGTACTAATAAAACAGGAAAACATAACAAGATCGATGTGGCCACTTGCACTTATAACCAAGTTGCATAGTTCAGAGGACGGGCTGATAAGATCCGTGAGCCTGAAAACTGGAAACAACAAAACCCTGGACCCCTCAGTCAATCACCTCATCCCATTGGAGGTGACAGAACAGAGCATTGACGATATGACAAGCAAAGGGAACTAACATCAGCCGTCCAGGATTCAGCCTCACAGGGCAGCCAAAAGACAAACTACTCAATAATACACACTACTGTCGTACTAACAAACTCTGAAATCTGAAAACTCGCGTGACAACAACGCGCAAACAAAGAAATCCCCCATTCACGTAGTTCGTTTTTATAAACAACAGTTTTACCCCATTTACTACACAACAACTAATCAAGTGTGAGTGCATGTCGCTTGGCGCGATCCCCCTTTATCATCTATGCGTCGAACATTTCAGATCGACTTCATAGTCAAACAACTCGTCCGGCTCGACAACTAGCAATTCCTCCAAATGATCTTCAAAAAAAACTTGACAAAAAATCAAAGACACCCCCAAAATCACTGTGCGTATCGTGTTGAAAAACACAAGAATTCTATAGTTCATTCATTCCTACAAACTCCATTCGGTAGCTACTTACTTCTATCTGTCCGAGTACGCCGCTGAGCAATCGCGCCAAATGACCCTCGCACACCGACAGCTAAGCTAAAGGCTATTCAAATCATCACATCATAAGGTCCTAACACGCACTAGCGATCGATCGATAAAGACGCGACAACTCAGGAACTAATACAATGCTCATCGATTACTTCAGTCGTCCGCTCCCCGTCACGTACTATCGATCGACGAGAGCGCAGTGACGTCAAAATCGTATTTTCTGATTTTTACCATTTCGGGCTTGCTCACAATCCTAAAGGTTCTTTGAAAGGAATGAGTTGTGCGCATTAATGATCCTCTTTGCTAACTATCACCGGCACATAGTACGTCTAAATCAATCAGTTTCATCATATTGAATCCGATTATCGATTTATTCACTCGAAGTTCAGATCGCATTCGTCTCTAAAGACGTCGCATCACATTCTAGTTCAGTTCCGCTGTGATAAAGTGCCTTTTGCTAACTACATCTCAACTCGAAGTTTATTGATAATCCAACCTTTCCACACTTTTAAGCAATTTTAGTTTCAGTAACCAGAGTTTCAGCGCAAAGTGCGTCAAATTACGTGTTTGGGACGCAATTTCATCTGCTAATCTGCACACGACCTCTACAACCACTCCTTAGTTTCTAACTCATCTTCAGTTCCATCGAGGGAAAGCACTTTAATAAGTTTCATGCCTAGTACTTATTACTAGCGTGCGTTTTGGATACGCATTGATTGATTTCGCGTTACTGCCGTTTATTTCATTCATTCATTCGTTCATTTCATTTAATGGTTCATACTCGAATGTATCCTCTCAAGGTAAGAACACTTTCTGTCTCCTACCTCAAGTGGAGAACACCTTCTGTTTTCTACCTTTCGGGTGGAAAACACCTTCTGTTTTCTGCCTTTCATGTAGAAGACACTTTCCGCTTTCTGCGCTTCAGGTGGAAGACAGACACTTCCTGTTTCCCGCTTTTCAAGTGAAAACCACTTTCCGTTTTCTGCCTTACGGGTAGAAGACACGTTACTTTTCTGCTTTTCAAGTGGAAAACACTTCCTGTTTTCTACTTTTCAAGCAGAAGACACCTTCTATTTCTACTTTTCAGGTGGAAAACACCTTTTGATTTCGCTTCATCAGAACTGTCGTTTCAATTACCAGCTCGTTTAGCCGACTCAGTTTTGTTTGTTTTCCTCACTATCCACCACGACATTTTACGGTACCGATTTCTTCTTCATACGCGCGCGCTCTGAAAAAGCTTTCTTGAAACTCATTTTTCCGAAAGTCTTACTGTGCTATTAACATAAACCAATGCCTTTCATCCTCCCTGCATAAGATCCTTTCTCGATAGTTCAACAACATTCGCGAGAGACACCATGTTTTGAACTAATTAGTTCAGTTCATCGAACCAACAAATATTTGTAGGCGATTTAGAAACCACAAAAATGAGGGACAGTTTCGTCTGCAAAATAACACACTCCCCTTTACGCAACACATTCACTGCAACATCATAGATATTAGCAGTTCCTTGAAGCAGTCCACCTTCTCATCTCATTTGCAGTTTAATTCATTCGAATTGCACCATACCTTGATTATCCTACTAGCTATCTTGTATTTCATCTCAACTGCGCATATGTACTCGACCGAATAGTTCAAATTCCATGACTCATCGGATGCACACCCAATTTCTTTTCTCTTTCAGTACAGTTACCTCGATATTTGCGGTCTTAGCACAATTTCCATATTATGCCTCGCCGTGTCTTGTTTCGGGGACGGTCACCTACCATTGGAAGAGGAAGAAGACCTCGAAACAGGTGGTCAGACAGGTTCAACCCAAACGCTAATTCAACCCTAACATCAATTTTTTTCTAGAAAGTCGCGTTTGACGGACGATTCGTCTCGCACATCACCATCCACTAACGACATCACGACCAGTGCATCCCCCGCTACGCAGCCTGTTGCTAGTTCATCTTCCGACGTGTACCACCCAAAAGCAAATGATATATCATTGGCCATCGCTTCATTGAACGTAAGTCAAAATAATCAAACGGGACAAGAACAGGATGACCATATGGACACTAGTTCATCAAACAACCCTCGCCCACCCTTACTCCCGGACGTCGATACTTCTCATTGGGAGCCCTCAAAAGCACCTCCCTCACAAACAAGTAAGTCCAGCGTCACATTCAGAGATGTAGTGAACGCGAGATCCAAATCCCACAAGGATCATAAAGTAAGGGAGGCCGCACTTCAACGCAAAAAGAGTCTCATTAAATCAGTCGTTACCTTTTTGAATAAGCACAACAGAAGAAGCGCGAACAGTGGCCCCAAAGACGCATCAAGGCGCAATCCAGCAGCTAGCTTATCTTTCAATCGAGAACAACAAGCACCCCATAGTACATTTGAAGTTGAGCCTTATTCGATTGAAGAGCTAACAGCGTATCAGTTTCGAACGGTTTTCAATTATATTACAACTAACAATGTTTTGCGTGACCAAGTTCGAGGTCTGGTCGTTCCAGCGCCGGAAACGACGCCGGCACGACCGGCAGACTTCGAAGAAGTCGCCAAAATAGTTCATTTGTTAAAGAATTTACTCAACATAGTTCAAAACGCTACCAGTTCGTTCCACGACCTCGCTATTCTCCTAGTTGGCAGGCAACCTTCGGACATCAGGTACACCCACCTAATGGGGTGGATCCAAGAACTCCACCATAACATAACCGCTATATCAGTCAATAGAGACCAGCTCCAAGAGTTGATAATTCCAAGGTTGCTCTCCTGGTCGAAAGACCAGGACCACTTTCGCGCCACGCTACAATTGTTCAACATCAGCGAAGATATCATAAAAGAGATCCTTTTACATAGTTCAGCTGTAACCGCACATGCAACGCGCATGATCAGAGTTCTCGAGACCCACCAAATGGTACATTTTATGAACAAGAAAAAAGTACTGGTCACCACCGAGGACGAACAATACAGGAATAGATCCCGCTGTCTCATTACCGCCAACATGGTCAGACGACCCCACCTCCTATCTACAAACATTGCGCTGGTGGCGTGACAATTTTTCAAGCGCTCTCATGACAAAAACGACAGAAGAGTACCTTCGTGTAAGCGCCGTAAACAGGCACTACAGGAAGAAACACAAAGGCCCGCAAGCCATAGCAACCAACGTACCACAATAACGATACCGCGTCTTCCACGATACAGATCTGGGCCACGGTCGCAACGCTCTGAGGGGCGGGAGGCTGGACTGTCATCCATTTTTGATCCAGTTACAGCACCTACACCCCCTGGGGCCGGGAAAAGAAGGTACGACGACGGCAACGATTTTACTACAACTCTTCTTCCTCCCTTAAAAGCCCGCCGTAGTCCAACAGCCAATTCATTTAGTTCACGTCCGGAAGACGCGGATGCGCTTGTCGCTGCTAAACGACGACGAGCAGCGCCTCGATCGCGTTTTCCCACTAGGACTCGGAAACGCCCCACGGGAACGTGGGTGGAGTTCTGTGCTTTTTGCGAAGGACGCGATCACTACACTTCCGATTGTCCGTCATTTCCTTATCTCAGCAGTAGGGCGTGTAAGGCCGAAAAGGCAGGCATTTGTAGTAACTGCGTGAAAAGCCATTACGGCGTTTGCATTCGCAGAGACCCGTGTACAATCTGCAAGGAAGAAGGTCATCATCGCGCGTTCTGTGTTCAAAATCCGTGGGTCGCTTTAGACATAACCATGTCGCCTGAACAGTTCTATGAAGAACTTCGCAACAGAACATACAGGCATCCTCCACCGGGTGCAACCACACGACGCCGTTATTCACACTCTTACAAAGACCGTGAAAAGGCCGGACAAGATGAGCCTCAGAAGTCGTCACCGCGTCCAGGTGACGAACCTGCGGTTCATCAGGCCTCACCAAGAGGTGAAAAGAGTGCAAAGCTTTCTGACCATGACAGCGATGAATCATGTTGAGAATAGTTCAAATTCGTAGTACAGCGTTTCGTGTTCTGTGGTAGTTCAGTTTTTGTTCTAATCGGTACAGATGTCTTCACTTTCTCAGGAAACGTTCACTTGTTCTCAACTAGCTTGCGCTACGAACTTGGCCCCAAAAAAGGAAAGCGATG